CTGGAGTTTGAACCCGGACCGATGAGGGTGGGATAATCACAAAAGACATTATTGGGATAAGGTATGAAATTTGACTGTGTTTTTAATTAGCTAATATTGCTGTGGCAATGTTAAGTTTTCTGATTATGCTAACTATTGTAACTATGTCTCACATCAGTGTACAAATTCAGTGTATTCTCTTAATACTCCTTTTCTTAGGAAATACGTACTGAAAGTTTTGGATAAAGGACTTGTTCTCAAATATTCAGAAAAAAAATTTATTGCTATTGTGTATGTATGTGTGTGTGTGTATAGACAGACAGATAACAGAGAGTGAGAGGGAGGGAGGGGAGAAAGAAGGGAGGAAGGGAGGAAGGGAGGAAGGAAGGAAAGGAGGAAGGAAGCAGGGAAAAGAATTTACTAAGAGGATGATAAAGCAAATAGGACAAAAGTGTAAATAATTGATGGCACACAGGAGTTTCTGGTACTATTCTTGCAGTTTTCTGTAAGGTTGAAATTATGTCCAAACAAAAAGTTATAAAAAAGACACAGGAAAAATCTAAAGAATGATGATGAGAGGTTATTACTCAAATGTTGTATTTTACGCTGAAAACTAAGAGCTGTCTTTCACGCTGTTAAGTATTTATGTAGCAAATCCTTACCCCCGCCCCATCCTGTGTACTAGCGTTCTGTTGCGGTGCTACAGGGCCTGTCAGTGATGCCTCATGGAGTCACGGGCCCTTGGAGGCATCACAGATCCCATCTCGTTCGAGCTCCCAGTCCATTCTTGAATCACCTATAAACTCTTCTGGCAAAGTGATCTTCCAGTCTGTGTTTGAGCACCTAAGTCACTTTAACAAGTCTGAGGACGTTTGCTCTTCTGTCTAGATCAGCTCTCAGGTTTCCTCCTGAACCGAGGATTTACACTCCCCCACTCATTACCGTTGTGTCTCATAGGAGATTATTTCCCTCTGGGTGATGGAGTCACTGTTACCCTGGTTCCCAGATTGTGTTCCAAACGCTCACAGGTACCACAGCAAACTCACAGGGATAAAATTTCATGGGAAACAACGCCATCTGTCAGACGGAGCTTGATGGAGTTCACATTTTCAATGTTAACTTGACACAGTCCACAGTTTTAATGTTAGACACTACCGTTCTTTCAGTGAAGTCATATCTTTGCAAATCCATGTGTTTAGCGGTTGCACTAATGGAAAGCAAGTACTGCATGAAAGTCAGCGTGGAATAGAAAATGAGGGTGGCTGTGTCCAGTCTGATGCTAAGGTTTGAGAAGTTGTATGTCACTCAACTCATTCTAACCCATCTTGATCGAGGAGCGCCTCAGCGACGCTTAGTGTATACTTTATACGGGTTCTTAAAATAAAGGCAGTGGTGAAAGGACTTTGTGGAGTCAAAAATGCTGTGCAAATACAAGTTCTTAACTTCATTAATATAGTGCTGTAATTTTCTGTTAGTCAAGACATAGAATTGAAAGTTCATTCGATTGAGTTAATCCCTTAGTAAACTTTCTTCATCGTGTTGTCTCCGTGAGAGCATCTCGGAAGCGCATTATTTGATATTCATCAGTGTTTGTTTCCTCTGCCGTTCCTTTGTTAATAGTAGGCGTGAGTAACAAAATGGCCGTAGGCTAAAAATCAAATAGTAATTATGCCTGTTATTCACATTCACATGTAATTTTAAGTTTTCAATATCTTATGATTAGAATGATCCATTTACTATGAAGGTAGGTCTTCAATATTTGAGAGTTAATACTATATTAATATAGTTTAGTAATCATAATAAAACATTTAGTTTTTATGATATTTATGCAATTGTCATTGCTGATCAAAGGACACAGGGTGTACTAACGCATCTGCTAGGTTAAAAATTAGAATTTGTATGAACAAGAACAAGAACAAAAAAATCCTAGATCAGAGATTAACATGGAAAGTTACTGTTGAAAGGTATTTTAAAGACAGTGTATCTCAGCCTTCTTATTGCATAAATGAGAAAACTAAAGCCCAGAGACTTGGAAGGAAATTTCATGATAAACTGTCCATAACCCCAAGTGTCTTCTTGTTCTCACTTGTGTGTGACAACCCATTTCCTGTCCGAAAGAGATGGAGAACAGCTGGGCGTCAATCTCAGCGCTGCGTACTGGTCTTATCAAAGGGTCTGTCCTCAGAATTACGCTGGGAGAGGGAAGAGTCAGTCTGCATGTCACTTTTATACAGACTCCTTAATTGAATAACTAAAAAACCCGCCTTAAAACTAGCTAATGTTCCCTCCCAATAAGAAAGAGAATGTATTCAAAGAATGGATGGATTCATGAAAAAGAAATGCCCAGAGACAGATTTAGGCGTGCAGGCTTTTGCATGGCTCAGTCCAGGGGTTCCAAATCGGTCGCATGACTGAGTCTGTGTCTGTCGGCGTCAGTGTCAGATCAGCTCTTTCCCACGACTTCAACTGGGGTGGGGACTGTGGAGCTGGTGGTTCTGATCAGTGGTGAGGAAAAGAGCAATTCTAGGGCAGAATATTTTCTCTGGAGTTCTTCAAACTTGCAGTAGCTCAACTAGGATCTTTTTACAGATGATAAAGGAATAACATAAGCCTTCGCAGCGCCATACAACGCTGTTGCATTTTGTAGGCATCAGAATTTCAAGTGTTTGTGATTTTTACTCAGTTTTCACTGTCACACTGGTGACTTCCCCTTTACTCAGTGCACAGCTAAATGGCCACAGGCCTCTTTGGGGAGAGGAGGAAGAAGCACTGTAAGGTTTTGACTGTGAATCAAAATCCTTCCTCAAGGGGGCCTGGTCCCCCCTGGCTTTATCCAAGAGGTTCTATGAAGTGGCTCAAGTCTGGAATTCACTGAGGTACTCTGACTTTTCTGTTGTGGTTATCAAGTCAGATTTTTGTTCGCGTAACCCAGAACACTTCTCTTTAGACAAATGGAAAAAACAGTAGATTGCTCTGTCTATTTCAGTTCCAGGGACACTGTGATCAAGGGCTTGATCCAGTGCTAAAGATCTCTGCTGGCCACGTCGTTCCGATTGCAGGTTCTGCTCTGTCCATTATGCTAACAACAGCTGCCTTGTCTCTGGATGTTATGTGTCCCCTTTGTCCCCTGCCACACCAAGACCCATCTCCCCGGGGGATTCAGGGAACCCTGCTGGGTGGCAGTGGTTCTCAGGTCACTCCTGGCTCACACCAAGAGCTCTTCACTTGTGCCAGAGCCGCCTCAGGAGTGTGCCTCCATGGCCTTGATGAAGGGGGCGTCCGAGGGATGTAGGTAGGGGGTGGGCAAGCGGGTGTCCCAGGGTGAGCCCACTCTAGCTTTCCGCTCTTGCCGAGAGAACAGATGCCAGGGAAGTTCTGGTGTTCCCGCTGCGTTCAGTGTCAGCCACTTTGGGGAACAGGTTTCAGCCAGCCCAGCACTAGACGCTGAACCCGGCACTTCTGCTTCGTGCACCTGGATAAGAATTGGCCTGAACCAACGTTGTCCTCCTGCACTCTTCCAGCCCCCCGAGACCCCTGCTCGTTTGTTTCTCAGTTTATATCCACTAGCTAAACCTCAGCCATTCTTTCTAGTATGTGTTGCATCTCTTGACAAGTCATCCTTTATACCTCATTGTCTGGGGCCTGCCTGCACGCGAGTCTTTGTGTAGACCAGAAGCAGAGGGGTGGTGGGTGACCAGCACCTCCTCCGAGGCAGCCGGGGGTCCAGGCAGGCTTCCGGCCTTGCAGGCATCAGGCTTTACTGGAGCCCCCTGTGTCTTACGCCACTGAGTCCTTCCTCTCTGGGCCATCCTGTTTAGAAGGCAGCCCTCTCGCCCCAGGTGCACTTACTTCCCAGCTCCCTCTCTGCACAGCACTGTTACCTTCTGTCACACGACACACTTTACTGCTTCATTCTCTCCCAGCTAGACTGCCGGCTCCTTGAGGACTGAAGTTTTGTTTCGGTCGTGCTCTAGCGTTTCTTGTGTCTGGAAGGGTGCCTACATGGAGCAGATTGTCAGGACTGGAGCGCACGTCTGCGGAGTCACTGACTGACTGGCTCATGCATCCTCTATTTATTCCTGTTCGTTGAGAACAGGGCTCGGCAGGAACAGCGCGTCACAGGCCTTCGGAGTGAAAGGTGGCTGCGGGGTCAGGAGAGAGACAGGTGGCTGGAGACGGTTTCCGAGGCAGACAGTAACCACATTTTGCAGAGAGCGGAGGCCACCCTGTGAGGAGTCTGTTATTCTAAGTGCAGTGGGAAGCCCCAGGGGTGTTTTGAGCCAGAGAGTGACAGAACTTGATTTTTTTTATTAAGTTCACCATGGCTGCTGTTCGGAGAAGAGACTTAGGGAGGCAAGCTGGTAGCAGGGAAGCGCATTAGAAGACTGTTTTTCGGTCCTTTTATGAAGACACAGTGGTAGCTCGTGCTGGGGGTCGCCAAGGGTTAGCTTCCTCCTCCTTCTTCCCAGACCTCTGTCCACCTGCTGTTGCCCCTGGTGCCACAGGGAGCCTGGTGCCGTGGACGTGCTGGGGGGCCGCTGCGGGGAGGACCTCGCGCTCTTGTTCTAGGGCCGGGTTGAGGTCAGACTAGAGCGGTAGCCACGCGGAGGGGAGCCAGCGGAGAGTGATCAGCAAACTTTGTTTCCCCAGTACAGCGCATAAGGTTGACTTTTCTAGAGTCTTAAGATGTTTAATTCAGTTTGCAAACTTTCATATCGTTTTTAGTGATCTAGTTGCCTGGTACGTTATATATAAAACTTCAGAAACAAAGTTGTAATTTGTAGCATTTGATATTTTAACATCAATAAACATACATGGAGTCTATAGATAATTGTAAGTTGTAGCCATTTCAATATTCAATCAATTTTTATAGTAAGTCATAATACTTAAGTCACGCATTATAAAAGCATGACTAATAAACAGCTATTATATAAAGTCATGTATATTAATAGTATGTTTTACAAACGAAGGAATTTTTATTGTATTATATTTAATTATACGTTTTCTTTTTTTATTCAAAGTATCAAGATACAAATATGCAGGGAGTTGTGTACGAACTAAACAGCTACATAGAACAACGGCTGGACACAGGAGGGGACAACCAGCTACTCCTCTACGAACTGAGCAGCATCATTAAAGTTGGTAAGAAACGGTTTATGTTCCTCCCAGCAGAAAAATTAAGCCAAAGATAAATTATGCCCACTTCACTGATGACGTGTAGATGCATGTACATCGTCCTTTTGGTTGAAGCTTATGTTTTTCAGGACTGTGAATATCATTTCTTTTATTTTTAAATACTTTAAAAATTAAACGTCTCAAATTTTAAAAACATTTTCTAATAAATCTGATGTTTAAATTTTAACAGCTGTATTTACATAATACATTTCTGTATGCATTTGAGGATATCATATCTTAAAATTTGCAATAGCTCATGAAACATTAAAGGAAAGTATTCTAATTATGTAATTGAGTAAAGGCATGCGTTATTTTGTTTGTTTACTGCATGACCATTAAGTATCTAACGAGTCCGCTCAAAGACCCTTGTCTGAGGGCTCACCTGGAGAGTGCGTGCGTGTTTCCTTCATCCACTGAGACCAGTTCCTCCTTTTCTGTTCCTTCGGCAGCCACAAAAGCTGACGGGTTCGCGCTGTACTTCCTCGGAGAGTGCAACACTGTGAGTACCTGGATTCAGACTTCGGTCTCTAGATAAGAGAGTGTTGTAAGCCTTTTAAAAAAGATAGACTCTTATATTACAAATAACTTGATAGACATATTGTAAGTAAGTACTTTAAAACTCATTTTCTGTCTTGTTTCTATATGTAGTTATTACCAACTGGGAATTTTACCAGCGTAGCAACATTGAGGCCTAAAATCTTACAGCTTTTTTTATTGTTTAGGTTTTGGTTTGCGATGTCCTAGCTTATGAATGGCATTTCCAGATTTACTGCTTTCACGGAAGTGATTTCGTCCCTGTGGGCTCGGTGTCATGGACAGTCTGTGCCCTCTTCTACACACGACCTGCAGTAGAATAAAATGAGAGCAGAAGTTTTATGTGACTTTTTAGATGTTTCCGTGGTGACTCTAGACGTGCTGGGACAGCGTCGCTGAGCGCAGGCTCCTGGGCTGAGGCGGCCCTGGTGCAGACGCGCCGTGTGCGGCCGCTTGCGCGGGCCTGTCGCAGTTCAGCAGTGCGGTCTGGACCCTGCGCTTGTGGTTCACCTTACCTGAAGCACAGCCCAGCGTCCAGCGCAGCACGCAGAGGCACTTTCAAAAGTATTTCGAGACATCCAGTCACCTGCATTTAATTGTTGTTACAGTATCAACACACACGTGACATTTTAGAATAACATTCTGAGCTTAAATATATAAAGCTCAGTTATAAAATTATTTTGCAAATTTTTATTTCTTGTGTGTTAGCCATTGTAATTTGAAATTTGGGGTGTGGTTTTGTAATCTGGTACTTGTTTTGTGAGTGATAAAAATGTGTGCTGTTTATATTATATAAAATGTTAATAAGAATAGAGACAGTATTCTGGGCTTTTACTAATATTCATGAGTAACAGAGTAGTGCAAAGCAGGAAAGTAGTTGCACAAAAGATACTTATTGTCTGAATTACTTAACTCATAACCAATCCCCTTCATTTGCACAGTCCTTGTTCCCCTTGTGTTGTGATCATCTGTGTTACAGGATGAAAAGCTCTTTCGGGCCGGGGTCTTGCTCATTTTTGTATTCACCCAGCATCTCTCCTGGTACCTAATACATAAAGAGTCAACAAGGCGGTTTATTAAACTGAGTTATTCAGATATTATTCCTACTTGTAAATACTTTATATTTTACACACTGGTAGTATTTTCAAATGGCTAAGCTATTAAAATAACAAATATATCTCCCTCATTTCTGTTCATGCTAAAAATTTATTTCTAAAATTTTGAAATTTTAATTTAAAACCTTAAGAATTTCTTTTAGAAAATAATTACATAATTTGCAGTAGTTTTTGTGATCTCTGCTATGTACCTTATCCTGTAATTGTGATGGTCCACATCTCATTACTCCTCATCTTTACATCTCAAACCACCCACAGGGGTTGGTCATGGTTTGTGTTATGTGACCCTTGACCTTCGGTCTCAGTTATTTGTGACCCAAACTGGAACCAGTCAGGTTCTCTGCTGAAGCCTGGCTCATGGGACTCAGCACCCTAGCTGTTTACCTGCAAAGAAATGACAGGAACCCTGGAACTGAGGCTGCCGCTGTGGGGGGTCCGCTTCTGCTCTGTGTGAGGGGAGTGTGGAGATGGAGGAGGGGTGGGGAGATGGGGGGCAGAAGTCGAAGAGCGGCAGGTTACACGCAGCCTGGGTCTGCCACGTGGGAGCTTCAACCCGGGCTCGGCTCTTGAGCCTGGATGTAAATTCCCAAAGCCCCATGCTCTTCACCCCGGGCCGTGCTTTTCACTTGGCTGCTTACAGACGTCCACGTGCTTAGGACTGAGAACAAGCTCTTGTGTCTGTAGTCTCCAAAATGTAGTTCTGTGTCCGCCACTTCTAATTCTTTCACTTTCACTTGTTACTGGCTTTTGTAACTTGAGTGGAGGGTTATATCTCGTCCTGTCGGGCTCCTTATTCTAAACTGAGGTCAGTCGATTTACTTTACACCGTTCTCTCCAGGGCCACCCATGCCTTTCTCCCTCTTTCTTGCCCCAACTCAGAGGCCAAGTCTGTCTTGTTCAACAGAGTGTCTCTGGGAGCAGCAGGGTACACAGCGAAATTGTAGCTTTTTCCAACCTTCTTAAGTCAGATTCCACTCTGTGACGCTGTCTTAATGTCATATGCTTCTCCACGGAATTTAGCTGAATCTGTAACTGCATCTTTATCTGTGATTTGTGTGATTATTTGCTTTTCTGGCTTTCTCATTGGAATATAAGCTTCACGAAGGCAGAGACCTTGTCTCCCTCAGAGGATAGTTTTAGGGGATAATTACTTGTTTTGTTCACTGTATTTTTCCTTGCATGCATCCCACGTAGGTAGCAAAGCCCCTGTTCCTCCCTTACCCCAGTGATTTCTGTGGCCCGAAAAGCACGTATTGTCTGAAGTGTAAAGTCACTGAAATACTTCCGGAGATGTGTCTGCACGATCACCAGTTTCCTTGCTCTTCATTTCTTCCTGTATCTCGGGTCTTACATTTGGAATCATTTATCTTTGATCTTGTAGAATTTCCGTTAGTGAGGATCTGCTCATGGGAAACTCTTTTTTGTCTGTCTGAGTATATCTTTATTTTACTGCTTGTTTGAAAGATATTTTTGCTGGGTAGAGAATTCAGTTTTATCAATATCATCTCTCCATATATTGACCATAATGTAGTTACATTTTGGTTGTTTTTTGATTTTTGTCAGTCCATTTTTTTTTATTCCCTGGACATATTTTCAAGTTTATCTTTTATTTCTTGAAATATATTAACTACCTCTTTTATATTGTTTTATATTTTTTCTGAATTTACAGTTTCTTGGCGTTTGTTTTGTCCACCTTTCATAGATGGTGACTTACGTGCTCATGCCTTTGATTTATCTTTTTATTTAACTGTGAATCCTGTTATTCTGGAGACTTTTACATGGATGTTCTCGAGGCTGCTGAAGTTCCTTTCCTGCTCTGGATTTGTTTTTGTATTTGTTTTTGCCAGTCACCCAAGGCACTGTCAAACCAGGACTATTTTAATTACATTCTCTAATTGAGATTTTTTTTTCAGACTACAGAGTAGTGTGGATTCAGAGCTCAGATCCACATGATGTGCAGTTAATATTACTCAGAGTAGATTTTTATTCCCTCCTACCCCGCTCAATAAATTCAGGATACTCTGCTTTCATTGTAATCCCCTTGCAGTTGTAAGTGATTCACCCTTCAAACTAAGGTGAGAGCATAGCCCTTGGCTGGTCCTGGCCCGGGCTGGGGGTCTCCTGTTAGAGTCCCACGTAGTGAGAGCTCAGGTTTTATCTCTTGTCCCCGGTTAGCCATGCAGCTTTCCTGAGGGAGGGTCAGCACCGCTGACCCTTGAGCAACACAGAGGGTTAGGGGCGTTAACCCTCCGTGCAACTGAAAATCCACATACAGCTTTACACTTGGCCCTCAGTATCCAAGGTTTCACATCTGCAGACTCAATCAGCCGCAGATGATGTAGTAATTACTGCAGTATTTATTGAAGAAAATGTGCCTGTACGTGGACCGACATGATTGAAACCCATGCTGCTCACGGGTCAGCTGTGACTCTAGGCTTCGGCCAGCTCCATACCTAGGCTTTAGCTGATAATTTCAAGAAAAAAACCAGTCTGGGATTTGCTTGCCACATCAGCTTCCTTTATGCATTTCCTTTTAGATTTCTGTGGACTCCTTCCATTCCTCTCAGCCCAGCAATGCATTATAAATGTTTGTGAAATATACTTTATCCAGCCTTTAAATAATTTTAAAATTGTTTTTTTCAGGAATGTCAAATTATCTTATCTACCATATTGCTTGCAACAGATGTTGACATACTTCTAAAATGTAAGCTAATCGTGCGAAATAAAATAAAACATTTTTTGCACAGATGAGCACATACATGTATAATTTCTTATATTTCTTCCTTTGTACATGAAAGCTAGCATATGATAGATATGTATTAATGTTTTTAAAATTGACTCTGGATTTTGAATCATAGTTAGAAAGTGTTTCTTAATAAGTCACTTTCAAACCAAAATATATATTCTTTAGTGACAAAATTATAATAATGAAACCGAAATAGACTGAGATAAAATTTTTTGTCGGTATCAATAAATACCAAGGATTAAGACAGATGTGGAAGGAACTGTAACGTTCACATACTTATAAAAGTATTAGTTTCTTTTTTCATAAATGATAATCAGTAGAAATAATTTCTGAAATTGATGCACGGAAAAATATAATTTAAATAATATATTTAAATTCTTTAAATATTTAAATTCTTTATAATATATTATATATAAATATATATTTGTATTACATATAAATATATTAATAACTTTATATTCAAAAGTTATACAAGTAGAGTTTAAAACCCGTAGTCATATTACCAGAGAGGAAAAGTTTAAAGAAAATATAGAAAGTTTAGGAGATGACGGAGCACAGCCTAAAAGGAATTAGAGCACTAAAAATAAAACTGATTATTGAGCTCATTTTGAAGATATGTCCCAACAAAATTACAAGTAGGTTAGGCCCAGCTGTTAGAAGAAAAAAGTCTTAAATCGGGTTCAGGAACTCCACAGCTTTCTTTTATTATATACAAGTGCATAAAACAAGGTGACTGAGGAATGACTGAAAATAAAAAAGGGAACTTTAGGAGGAGAACGTCTATTCTGGGAACATGCGGGGAAAGGGGACCGAGGGCCACAGGATCGATAATCAAGTTGAACTGAGAGAAAAAAGCATTAAATTGGAAAAGCAGGTCACCTGGTTTATGAAGGGTTTAATCGACAATGAAGGTAGTGCTATTAGGAGGTTTATACAGTAAATGATCAGTGCACTGAAATATATAAAGCAAGACAATCATACCAAAAAAGATGAACAGAAAAATGCAAAAGTATTTTTAGTTATTGACAGATCAGAAATATAATTTAGAGGATCTTAGTATCATTAATTAGATTTATCCAAAAATATATAGATTTATTAACTCAG